AGTTTCTTTGTATGGCACTTTTCACCTAATACTGTGCCTTCTCGTAATCTGCTGGATTAGGTCTTGTTTTTTTTCCCAGGAGATCTATGGTAAGTTGATCATTGTATATTTCTCACTCCCCAAAGGTATACCCTTGTTCAATGAGTTTATGTGAGCTGGTGTGGATGGACCTAATTCCCGCACTTGATAATTTAGGTCTGAGTATTGGGTAAATTAGATTTTTATACTTCTTTTACCATCTAGGTTACTTTAGTTTAACCTTGCATTTGGAGTTTGTATATTTCTTCATTTGTGTTTAAATTTTTCTTCTTTCCACTGTTAATGTTATTTAGTTTGTATGTCTTTTTTCTTTACTACTAGTCACATCTAATTGAGGATTGGTTTTGAGTCAAACTTTGTTATTATTAACTGGTTGCCTTTTCATTCTAATCTTATTTTGTGTAGGTTTTTTTTTTGTCCTTTGTTTTATAGATTCTTTGAGTGGACTTATAAATTTAATGTTTAAGGCTCGTATATCTTCTTAGCCCCTTCAGTGGTTTTGTACTTTAGGTGTTATTTATTGTTTTAGATTGAATTTTTAGTTCTGCAGGTTTGTTCTTTTTATGTAATATATAGACTCTACACGTTTGTGAGTTTTGTTAGTAATGAGTATTTTCTCTAAATACTTTAGCTTATGTGTTTTTGTGGCTACACTTTGCAACAGTTCCATTGTTTATATGGGTTCTCTCTAATGGTTTTTGACTTCCATTTTGCTACCCCTCTATCCACGTTCCAGTTCTTCTTTCCTCCTCCTTGGGATCATACCTTGTCCCGTCATCTTGCTGAGTCTGTTTGAGTCCTACTACTTAGAGGAGCTATCAAATGGGTGGTGGCCACTCAACCAGTAATTTACTCCCATCTTTGTTTTGTCTCCAAATACATGGGAGTATGGAGTCCCATCATTGATCTGTCCTGGCTGTATACTTATCTGAAAATGCCTCACTTCACCTTGGAGTCCTACCTTTCACTTTGGTGGGTTTTTACCCCAATGTCACATCATTTTTCTTCGGTTCCTTTATGAGGGTTCTGCCTTCCAGTTCTGGGTGCAACAGTTCTGTCTTTCTTCAGCTCCATACACGTGTAGTCGAGTGATGTGCTCTTTCGCAAGTCATCTTCACTCGCTGGTCTTTGGACCCACCATTTCATGTATGACTGGCTTCTGCTTGCCTCTTCTCATATTCAGTGAGTTACTCCAACATGCTTCCTTCTTTGAGAAGCTGCTTGATTGGAGTTTGTCATCAAGTTGGAGAAATCCTTTACTGTTTCCTCACATTGTCTTATTCATTTGGGGGTTCCTTTCACTTCCTGTCTCAGTCAAGTCCAGCCTTCTTCACTTAAACTCCAGGATATGGAGTGGGAAGTCACATTAGCCCAACATTCTCCTTCTCTCTCTGCATGTAAGGTTCTATCTCTTTTGTGGATGTGGGCTTCCTTGGAAGCTCTCGGTGGCATGACAGGGACTTAACCACGGTGGGGGTTCTCATTTCTCCGCCTCTTCCCACGTCTCATCTGTTCACAGGTGCAACCTTGGTGGGTTGTGGTGGGGGAGTCCTTGATTATCCAGAAATTTTGGGTTGGTGATCAGTCAGGGAGGCTACTCTCCATATTCACATCATGGAACCTTTGGTAGTTCTTTGGGTTCTGTACCATTTCCTCCCATTCTGCAGGTGTGGGTGGTTATGGTTCATTCTGATAATTCCACTGTTGTCAGCTTTATCACCAAGCAAAGGGGAACCTAGTCCAGATCTCTGTCTTTTCAGACTCTGGATTTCCTGTACTAGGCCAGTGACCACGACATGATGGTTATGGCATGTCATGTTCCCAGAGTTATGAATCTTGTGGCCGATCTCTTATCATGTCCCAACCAGGCTCTCCACAGGATGGTCTCTTCATCCTCAGGTATTTCTGTGGGTGTGTTCTTAACAGGGAAAACCACATATATATATTTTGTGTTTCCTATTCACTGGAATGCCAAACTTCCATCCTTTTTGGTCTCCAGTTCCTCACCCCTCAGCTCTGGGGGTGGATGCTTTCTTTCAGTCAAGATTGGAGGGGTCTTCACCTATATGCATACCTTCCAATCTGACTGCTCCTTGTTCTGTTCTGGTGGTTGCTCCATATTGGCTGACTCAGATGTGGTTCCGTCTGCTCTAGCCCTTACTGGAGCAACATACCTTGCCCTTTTTTCTGTCCTGTTCACTCCTCTGACAATCCAGATCTGACTTTTTTCATCCCAATGTCACCACACTCAATCTTTCCATGTGACTTTTGTCTGGTCTCATGCCTCAGCTCAGGGCCTTGCCCTGTGTGTAGCATCTTTCCTTGCCTGTACTATTTGCCCATTCTCTTTGTCTATGTATCAGAGGCATTGGTCTTGCTTCTGACTTTGGTCTATTTGCCTTGGCTTCTGACCGTCCTGTACTTCTGTTCCTCACCTGTCCCACTTTTTCTTCTGGTTGTTTTATCAGGTTTTGTCTGTTTCAACTGTTGCTCTTTATATGGGTACCCTGTCAAACACCCTCCATTCTCTCACTTCTGGAAAGCATTCTCTTTCCTGTTTTTTTCCTGCCTTTTCCATTTTTTTTGTCTGGTCTACCCGCTACGTTCTTTTGTTCTGATGGATTGGGATTTGAGTGTTGTTCTTTATGCCCTGTCCGGTTTTCCCTTTGAACCCATTGCAATTCGTTTCTTGTACCATCTTTCCCTTGGCATGTGGTCATCATTGTTCTGATATTTATGCCATCCTTTACCATTCCTTGTATGTTATTTGCTGTTGGGATCGGGCCTTCCTTCCCAGGACATCATATGCACGGGAAGGTTGTTTTGCCTTTTCTCCTATTTTCTTACCTTCCTTTTCACACCATTTGGATTTGGATCATCTCCTTTGTCCAATTTGTTCCCTTCTATGTTATGGCTCGTACTGCCTCCTTTTATGGTTCTCGTTCCCATCTAATTGTCCCATGGCATTCCTCTGTTTCCTGTGATCTTTCATTTATTACGCTCACTGGTTGGGTTCATCAACTTATATGAGTGATGTTTTTGATGTGTCCATGACAGGTCACTGTGTATGTAAAGTTTTTTCACCCCAAATTTATAATCTAACTAAGTCTTTAGCTGCTTGAAACCACCGTCTTTTGGAGGAGATCATTCAGGCTAGTATGTGGACAACTCATGATACATTTGTAGCTCTTTCTCTGCACAGCATAGCTGTGTTTTCCTTGGGTGGGTATTGTCTTCCTCCTGTGGTGATTCTACACACACCTGTTCACCTGTGACTGGGTTAAGTTGACATTATTCTTAATCTTATTTCATTGATGTACACCATATTTCAGGATCAACTATGCTGAATTTTGTATCTTAGCACTACATCTGTATAGTTCTATAATGCTCACTTGGAGATGGGTGTTTCTTTAAGACCACCGGCCACTTATCTGGTGGTATGTATCTATATATATTTTTTTTTTTTTTATCACCGTATCATATATAACGACCGCCACTCTTGGACTTCATGAGTAAAGCAGATGGGGATTTTTGTCCATCCCTACTGACCTGTAATTCTTACAACAATGATCTTTCTGCTTTTAAGTTCTGCCCTTTGTGTCTTAATTTGTTCATTACTGGATGAAGAGCATACCTGTTCCAGAAGTAGTGCTATACTCCACAGATGTGCCTCCTTTTATAATTGTGTCACATATGTTCTTTCATGGAGGTCTGGCTTCTTCACCTTTACAATGTGGGATTCTAGCTTTGGGTGAGGGAAGCTAACATTTTTTAACACCGAAAATGTATTTCTAATAGGTACTTGCCTCTTCCCACCCTTCCTCCCCACTGATTTGCCAGTGTTTCTGGTTTGTGTCTGCCAAACCTTGAGAGTGAGGATTATGTTGCAATGGTACAGGGAGCTACCTGCACTAGTATAGATGGTGCAGTACGATTGGTGGAGGGTAGTCAAATGATCAATCACAGGTAGTCAATGGGGCAAAAATGAAGGGTTATAATAGACTGGTGCACTGTTGAAAAGCTTAGCAATGCTTAGAGGGTAAATCAAGGTTGGGATAGCTTTGGGTGAGAGGATGTAAGTACCTATTGGAAATACATCTTCAGTGTTAGAATATGTTAACTTTTGAAAGACAGCAAGTGATAGGAGGGCATAGCATGTGCATTGGACTTTCTGGTTTATATCTCTTTAAATCAAGATAATTGGAGGCTATAAAATTAGAATGTCTCAGCAGTATCTATAGTCTAATTCTGTAATTTGTATGAAACTCAGAAGCTCAAATAGAATTTTTAAAAGGGCAGTTTGGAGGAAACAAATGTAAAGATTGAGATTTTGTTAGATATATCTTTATGAAATTTGTACAGTATTAAAATTTGGTTTATTAACTATGTTTTGACATCAAGTTTATTGACATAACTTGATAACATAGTTGTTAAATTAAATTTTGAATATTACCTCAAAACAGTGTGACATGTGCAGTTTGTCCCCACCTGTAGACATAAGTTAAAGGCTTCTGATTTCATTTTGCCATATTCTGAAAACAACAGAACAAGAGGACACAAGTGTAAGCTTTGAGGAAAGGCAAGCTAGACTCCAATTAAGACAATTTTGTTTATCTCACAGAGTGATGAGCTCAAGAAAGGAGTAGCCATCAGCAGTAGTGGAGGACAGTACCCTAGAATCTTAGAGGAAAACAAATTATTTCCTGAAAAAATTAAGGGTGTATTTAAATTTTTACTTTTTTTCATGGGTAGGTGTGTTGGGACACCTCGAATGACCGGATAACCCTTTGTTGTCTGTAATGTTTTAATAACAAAAGGCATTTCAGTTTCCTTTTTTGACTTGATTCATGTTAGATTTTACTGTGTATTGGAAACATAATTGTTATAAAAGGGAACAAAAAATATTATGAATTTAGGTTTTGAATAACTTTGTGAGCATCTGATTTTTTTCTTATTTCTAGTTTGAAAAACCTAATGTGAAGATTCCTTGGAAAGCCATTTTACTAGCAGTGTTCTTATTTATTATGGGAAGCATCTTAATCATTATTGGTTCACTTCTACTGACTGGTCATATTGAAGCCAAGGTTTGTAAGATTATTACTGTCACATTATTGTATACTGTGATATTCAGGTTACACTTTGTAGGTATAGTCGAAAGTTTTTGAAGTAATGAAATTTGATATTTTGGCTTTAATTTGTTATAGTTCATGTGCTTGAGTTATGATGTAGAAATGCTGATTTTAGTTAGTTTTTTAAAGTTTCTAAAGGTGTATATCTTGTAATAGTTCACTAGGTTCCACACCTTTCATACTTGATAATTCAGTGTAGATGATGTAGGCACTATAATTGTCCAGTTTGTTCTCAGATCCTTAATATCAACATATAGTCAATGAAATTATTTAGTAGAAATATAGTCGACTATTTTATTCACTATTAACTTTAAGAAAATACAACAATTTACTCAAGAATGATGTAGAGCAGTAATTTGCAAAATGATGGTAAGATTAAGATATAGCTAAACATAAAGTATTGGAAATTTATATCAATAGTTTCTTTTTTCCTTTTACATTTAGCTATAAATTGTAAACATAGCCTGCTGGCTAGGGCACTTTACTCTCACAATCCATGGGTCACAGGTTTGAATCTCATCACCGAATATGTTTGATTTTTCAACCATGGGGGAGCTATAATGTTACAGACATTTCCACTATTCACTGATAAAAAAGTACCCCAAGAGTTGGCAGTGGGTTGTGCTGACTAGTCCTTCCCTCTAGTCTGTCACTTCAAAATTAGGGACAACTAGTGCAGATAGTTCTTATGTCACTTTCTGCAAAATTCAATAAACAAACAAATAAACCAAGTTGTAAATAGGACCTGCCTGCAAGTTGTGTATGTAAAATAAATTAAAGGAGATTACTTCTTTGTGTAGAAGGAATATTGTTTAAGTCTAATCACATTAGAATAATTAATTCAGGCAATGATAAACATTGATCATGATCCCACAGTTAATGATCAAAATATTAGCAATTAAAATTGTTTAGTTCACCACAACTTGTAGTATATTTTCTATTAGTTGTTGTTGAAACTTGTAAATGCATGAAGCAACAAAAAAAATATATTTAAAAGCCTATAGTTAAGTTAAACATAAAACTTCTTATATTTACATGATAAACCCAGTGATTGTCTTAAAGGTCCAGGAAGTTTATCAAGATGCTGAAAAGTGTAAACGTGCCCCAGGTGAGTGCTGAGGTAGGAGTTTAATATTCAATAATACTTTTGGATTGTTATAGGAAAAACACACAATGGTTCTAGTGTGTATATTTTTGTGTGCAAATCTCCTACCTCTTTATTATTTATTCTTTTTATCTATTATTTTATGCTGAATTTACCAGAAAGCTGTACAAGAGATAACTAGTAAGTTGAACATTTATGAAATTAGTGGAAAAGTTAAAACTTACTAGAAAGTTGGGTGAAGGCAAAGAATTGTGATAAATAGTGGTTTCTTATTTAAACCTTGGCAGTCTGAGTGAGTTGAAGAAAATATAGCTAATTGAACAGGCAGTAAAGACAGAAATTAATGAATAGGTTACAAAATCACCAAGTTTTATATATTTATTTCTGGAAGATGATGTTTAGAGCTAGAGCTCTTTGTCAGATTGTAAAGAGTTGAACAAAAGTGCAAGTGCAGAATTAGAAAATTGTGTACACACGTTTTTAAATGTGAGTTACAAAGTTCTTTGAAGAATTACATCTTTTATATAAATATCTTACAAGTCAGAAATGGAAAGTTTAAAGAAAAAAGATAAACCACAAAGTAAAATTAAATTTTAAAACAATCATATAAAAGTGAAAATATGTTTGAAAGAAAACATTCATTTAAACCAGAAGGTTGTAGAGTTCCCAGATTATAGAGTGATTTCTTTCCTAGTTCTCTTTTATGTATGTCTGTTGGAAAATGTACAAGTCACAGAATCAAAAAGTCCTTACTTTGATTATTTTTTTTTGTGAAATGTATACCTGTAGATGTATTTTGTTTCAGCAGTTTAACATGGTTCAACCTTAAATAATTTGTGACAAGGAAATAATCTTGTTATATAATCCGGAGACAAAGTTGGAACCATTATAGTTTAAGCATTTACGTATAACTGAAGCTTTAAAACAACTAAATAACAGTCCTTTGTACACTCTGCTTGAAGACAACTCAGATCCTAACTTTAACAACCTAGTAACATCCACAATTCAGGATGTATCAATACTAATGATTTATCCACTATAGCCAAGAATCTCGTTGTAAGTAAACCTAGAACTCCTGTTTTTTTATCTTCCTAAAATCCACTAAGAAGGATATCCAGGCTGACCTATTGTATCTGCTTGCAGTCATCTTACAGAACATATGTCCTGTTATCTTGATAACGTTTTATCACTCTTTTTTTTCACAAGTTACAAACACATGCAAAGGATACCACTCATGCCATTACTTTAATCAAGAACATACACTTAACTGGAAAGGAATACAACATTTTTACCATGAACACAGAATCATTGTACATATCTGTTCCACACAATAAAGTTTTAATTTTACTAAAACATTTCTTAGACCAAAGGCCTATACTTGATACTCACACACACACTTCTACGTTTAGCAGAACTTTTACTCACTCTTGGTGCTGGCACTTTTAATGATAACTACTACAAACAGGTCTGTGAGGTCATGATTGGTATAAGAATAGGGCCAACCTCTTTTTGTATATACCAAAAATCGTGCACTTAATAATCAGTGCAATGGATCAGTACCCATGGTGTATTGTCATTACAGTAAAGACAAACTATGGGTTATGTCTATGGTAAAGCCAGAAACTTTTATACATTATTATACACTATGTATACTCTCTCCACCCTTGGCAACTATCAGATACAATACTACCCATGCTGGACTACAACATATGCATACAAGACAAACATCTGACATTATAAAGGAACAGATTCACACACATACCTACTTTTCAAACCGTCCCACCATTTCAGTTACAAAAAGTCAATACGATACAATTTTTATGACTATGTAAACTGCGTAGTGGTGATAATGATTACAAATCAGAAACAAAAGACATGAAAACTTTTATCTTTAAAAGAGGCTATCCTGATTCATCCATGATACAAACATGTGCTTACATAACACCAGACCAACAAGATCAAAGGTAATGTACTAAATAATTTCGCCATACTTATTGAAGATCCAATCATTAAATCTGTTTTCAAGAACTCGCCCATTATTGCTCACACTCCGGTCCCTCCACCTTTGTAATGTGGGATTCTAGCTTTGTGTGAGAGGAGGTATGACTGTTTCGGAAGTTAACAATTTCTTACACTGAAAATGTATTTCCCACTGCCAGTGTTTTTATATTAATACCTAACAATTTTCGAAAGTGAAGATTGAGTGGGAATAACAAAGGGTCAGTATAGCTGCATCAGTATAAATGGTACAATACCATTGGTGGAGAGTAGTCACATGTTCTGAAATGGTACAAAACTGATGGGGTATAAAGACTGGTATGCTGATTACACAAAAATTTTTAGCAATGCTTAGAGAGCAAACAAGGATCTAGATAGCTTTGTATTTGAGGAGGTAAGTATCTATCGGAAATACATTTTGAGAGTAAGAAAATGTTAACTTCCAATATGGTACATTACCTCCACTCACATAAAAAAGCTATTTTTGTTCAGTGCTGCTCTCTACATACCAAAAAAAAATTTATGCATGCCACAAGCCTTCTATCTCCCCTCCATTGGAATTGACTGATTTCAATGCACCTCTCATGCAAATCATCATACATCAACTCTCCACCAATAGGAGTGCTACATACTCTCATTACGCATGTTACTCCATGTATTCCATTCTACCTAACTATCACTTCTCGTTTGGCAGTACTCGTGTTCAGACGTTTTTTTCCTTTTGGTGCTATTTGTCTGTTTTGCACTGGTAAATTTCATAGTTTCAATTCCAAAGTGGGATTTTTTCCTTAATTTTTTGCTATATTGAAAATGCCTTTTACTTTAACTTCATTTGCCAGTCATTATTTTCTTCTTTCACATTTGTATTTGTCTTTCAAACATTTTTGTTTGATTCATATTTCTGAAATGAATTCTGAGGTTCATGTTACCACTTTGGATATCATACCTCCTACGACACTCTTTCACAGGCTGTAGGTGGAGGTGACCCATCATTGGATTTATCAGCAATTATCCACTGAGAGACTGATCATTATATGGGTCAACCACCTTCTCCTGAACTTGCCCCACTTTCTCCTGAACAGGCTGAACCTGTTCTGGTCAATGAAGATTTTGATAGGTTTTTTTCCACCACTGGATTTTGCTGTGCCTTTCTATGTCTAACCTGCAGAATCAGCTAAGCCTAATATAGCATTTTTAGACATGATTTCTCATGAATGTCATATTTTATCCATTTCCCCAATTTCCTATGATCCCTGTCTTTCTTTCTGGCATGATAGTTCTTCTTCTCTATATTCAGTTTTTCTACCCTCTTCAGATATTAGGGTTCATGCTGAGTAATTTGCTTCATAATTGGTTGAGGGTACCAGCATGCCTCACCCTCCACGGGCTATAGATCAGTTTGCTTTGGTTTATCATCAAATTGACTGTCTGTTGCTTGACTCTCAGCAACTGGGGTCCATTTTACCTGTGTGTGGAGCAATCCCTGATGTTCCTGTGCATTTAATTAACCTATGCCCACTTTTCATACTTTCATCTTACCCTTACTTCACTTCTACAGTACTTATCTACCATCCATCTCCTTTCCAAGGTGATACACCAAGATCTTGAATAGCCACTCCATTATTACCTCCATTATTAATTGTTTGTCATCTTCAGCTCTTGCTTTACACACACGTGGTTTCTCTGTTGTTCAAATCATCAGGGTTGTGATGTAGCCTTGTCCCAGGTTTGTTTGCTGGCCACTTATCTAAGGGATTTACATATGACCTCTTTTCTTCAGCAATATGTTTTCGATCATGTACCTGAGATTTTGGAATCACATGTGGAGTCTGTATATCAACACTCTACTCCT